AATAACTTATTAAATATATTATAGTACGGTAATTTTCTAAAGGTTTGATTTAATTCAATATATTTTTTAATAACCTATACAAATTTGTTACCAGATTATTTCATATTAAAACGAATTTAATAAAAAAAGGAGAAAATAATCGTTCGGCATCAATCTTCGAATAAAGTCAAGTTATCAAACTATAATGTAAATCTATAGAATATTTTACAGAATGAAAAAGTATTTAAGAAACTATAGAAGCAAAATTCATTTATTCGTTTTTGTCTATTTCTGTTAAATATTGATCCTTAATTTGTTTTTTAATGAGTCCCTCTTTTCTTTTACAACTCAGTGCCCTATTTATCCCAATATATTGACACATTCACTTTAAAAATTTTAGAGAGAATATGTTTATTGTACATGCAATTATTTTCGATTAAAAAAATAGACTGAAAAGATAACTCCATTTCTTTAATCTCTTGGAAATACAAGCGTAGTCTATCAATTTGCTGAAGAAATTTGACAACATAACAAATAATATTTTCTTACAAATAATTTCTTATTTGTAAATGTGAGATAAATGTCGCATTCAATTATTCTTAAAGCAGCTACATATTTTTAATTATTAAAAATATAGCTAACAAAAAAGTTATACTTATGTTCCTAAGTACCAGGATTTCAGATATATAACAAAAATTTTAAGTAACTTCTATTTATACAACTTAAACTGAGTTTGTTTAGTGCTAAAAGCTAGTAAAATATCTTGAAGGAAAAAATTAATTCTTTATGTTAATTCATTCAGGTTTTACGACAAACATGAGGTATTTGAGATTGTTCAGCTGATAACAAAATCAATATCTGATAATTTATAAATAAGAAAATAATTTATAAAAAAATATTTTTGAAAATGGATGTTTGCCATTTTTTTAATATTTTTTAGTCAATATTTCAATGTTTAACCGCCCTTCAAATACTCAAAAAAGTCATAATTATTATAAATGTTATTTCATTGCTGCAATTAGAATTAAAACAAATAATACGATAAATTTTCGAATTCGAAAAACTACAGAACTCCATAAAAAATAATTTTTTTCTTATTAAGAGATATTATTCTTAAGAGGAATTATTTTTATGAAGAGAATTAAAATTTTCATAACTCTAACAATAAGGACCCAAACTAATTCTGAATAAAGTAAAATAATAAATTATCAAAATAGTTTTACTTTAGCTACTATAAGAGTAAGAAAAAATTTTAATTTCCTAAGTAGAAGCATGCTACCTTTTTGAATAAAAATAATGTTATATCTGGGGGAACACTGAAAGTTTTGCTTTATTGATCCTAGGTAGGAATTACTTCTTCAATCAATTCTTTTATTTTTATCTTACTTTTCAACTCAGTTTTAAAAGTTAAAGTACGGAAAATAAAAAAAAACCTTTAGAATTGTTTTTTTTTCTATAATTTAAGACTAAATCACTTAAAACTCGAAAATTTTTCTTTATAAAATTTATTTGATAACTAATATTACGTTCCCAAGCATTGTTCTTGATTATTTTATTTCCTTCCAGACGAAAATTTTTTTTAAAAAACATGAATTAATATCAATTTTAATGAAAAAAGTAAAGGCTGCTATATGTAAACATTAAAATTATTTTCTGCTTTAAAGAAACATTATTTGTTAATTAATGAGATTTATTTATAACTATATTATATGTTGAAAGTTTCAAGTCACAAAAACGAATTTAATAGAAAAAATTAAAACAGATTGGACTGGATTTTTATATGTTACTTATAAAAATTTCTCTTACCAAGGATATTTTTTTTATACTTTTCAAAACTTACTGTTTGTCTTAAATCTATCGTAAAAGATTCATAATAGCTATTTTAACTGTTTCACATAAACAATGCATCAATTTTAAGCAATCAAGAATTAATAATATAGCTATAAAATACGAAAAAAAGTTTCAATAACATTGAATATAAAAACAAGAGAACTAGATAAAATTATAAAATACTATTCTATTACTTTATTATAAGTTTTTAAGAAACTCTCTCTGGTTCTTTTATTTCGTTTAAAAATGGTAACACGTTTAAATGGTAATACAATTTTAAAAAATATTTTTAACATTATATAACAATTATTCAACAAACAGCTTCTATTTCTCTTTTGTTACACAAACAGGTCTTTATTACATCTTTAAAAGTTCAAAAGATCAATTCAATTAAAAATAAACTGAAACTACATTCGTTTACAAAAGATTTAAAAAAACATAAGGAAAAAATATTCGTAGATTTTTAATTATTTTTTAGTAAAAAATGGAATCCACACACATACAAATATCGGCCATTCGAGGTTTGTTTAGATAAGTTTACATAAATATCCTCAATGACGTACAGTCATTAAAATTTATTTTGTTTTTAATTTGAAAGTTCACACAGTAATGTACTTTTTTTTCATGGAAAGAAACATAAATGAGTTATAAAATAATATGATAATAATAATTTCTTTCATTTTAAGTTAAATCTAAAACTATACGAATATTTTTTATTCATAAAAATTAATTAAAAGTATATATAAATAAAAAATATTATAAAAAACTGAGAACGTTCTGGAGAGCAAAATTTTTAATCAAAGATTTTGTTCAAGCTTCAAACTGTCGGAGAATTATTTCAAGTAAAATTTTATAATATAATTAGAAAGTTTGATATGTGTATGATGTTAATAAAATAAATGGTATTAAAAAAACAAAAATAAAATATTTTTTCTGAAAGTGCGACATCAGCATTCATAAACTCTTCACCAGTGAAAAAGTTTTTGTGAGTTCTGTTTGTGTTTTCATATAGTATCTGGTTGCTAAAAAAGGGGAGAAAAAGAGTTTATCAAGGTAGTTTTATTAAACACAAAATATCAGTCATAATCCTTTTTTTAAAAAAAGTTTCAGAAACTTCGAATAAACTTTATAAACTTAAAAATGTTTAAAAAGTTTTGACCGAATAAGTATTAAAATTTGTACCTATCATCTCATCTAAAAACAGCATTTCAGTTTATTTATTAAGATTAAAAATTTTAAAAAAAACTAATTTCTGTAGTTGAAAACTTATTTGTAAACAATTCAAAACTCTACTTTTTTCTTTTATTTACTCTTCTCTAAAACTATGAACGCTTCACTCTACTTTTATTTTTAATAAATTAAAAGTGGAACGTAAATAAATAAGGACCCTTCTCGAATGATCAGATGGAGTGAAAAGGTGACAACGAGAATCGAATCTTCAACGGAAACCGAGAATGTTTTCAACGACAGTGTATGTGTTTATACAAGACCCAACTGAACCATAAGGGGACCAAAAATTCGGAGAAAAATAGTTTTACACCCCTTACCTTTCGATATCGAAGCAAAGGGGTCGTCCGGGGCATCTGGGGGAAAGAACGTTTTTCTGTAATAAAAAAAAATCCGCTTTTTGCAAAAAGAACAGAGAAAAGTGCAAACGACGGAAGAAAGCACCTTTCCGCGGCAGTTCCGCTCAGGAACGTTTCGACGCGTCCATCTTCTCTTATGCGGAAGAAGTTGTAGCTGTAGAGTATAAGGGGGGTCTACACCAAGCGCCCTCTCACGGACGATACTGTAGCGACTCGTTCTCTCTCTCATTTTGAGAAAGATCGATCGTTTGATTCTTCCCCTCACCCCCACCCCCTTTTCTGCTTCGATCGGCGGAGGATTTGGAAACGTCGCCTGAACAAAATCACCCGGAATGGAACGATTTTCTTACCGCCGCCGCTTCGCGGACCCTCGGTTGCGGGGGCGTATCGTTTTCTCCCGAAAAGAGGGATGGGATGGACAGGAAGCGGCAGGGAATATTTTGTAAAGTGGAGGGGGTGGTTAACGAATAAATTGTTTAGGAATGGTTAAAAAGCATCCGTTATTCTCTCCATTGCGGTCATGTTTTCGATTCGCTGGAAAACCACCTGCTTGTCGGCAGGAAAGAGTAGGCGGGTGTCCGTCGAACGCAGGTGGGAAAATATTTTTCGAAATTAAAAAAAAATCGTTTGTCTCCTTTCTCTCTCTTATAGGTCTTTCAAATAAAAGTTCATCTTTTCATGTTCGCTCATCTATAGAAATTTCAAATTTTATAATGCTATATTATTCAAAATATGTGTAAGAAAATATTTTTTGAGACTTTAAAATACTATTAAAGAATGTACAAATGCAAAAAATGTCTGACTGTAGAAAGAAATAATATACTTATACATTGAAAAAAAATAAGCTTGTTGGAAGATTTATAAGATTAAAAAAATGTTAAAATCAAATAATAGTTTTATAAATTCTTTACGAGAGGGGTGATTTTTTAATGGAGGAGAATAACGCTCATAAAAATCTTTGTGCAAAAAATTTCCAAATCACACCGATCGTCTTAGGTATATGATATTGCTGATAGTTTAAAATAAGAGTTTCGATGCTACTATACTAAGTTTTACAGTAAAAAGCTAAGCTAACTGAACTAATGTTTTCGAAAAATGTTTCAATTACCTCACATGCATGTTTTAAAATTTCAATTTACTCTACCCAAACAAAACTTTAAAAAATGTTTAAAAGTTCAGTTTTTTCCTAGTTTTTAAATTATCTTGATGCCTTAAAAATAAACTTATTTAATGTTTTGTTTTGTTTTCGTAATGGACAAAAATGAAAACTACTGGAATGTACAAAACGCAGAAAAAATTAGTAAATAATAAAGTATATTCATGTTCGCGGGTGAATGTAAATAAAAACAAGTAATATAAAATAAAAAATTTTAAGTCAATTTATACTTAATCCAGCAAAGAAACATTTTAATTTGGTTACTTTTTATTAAACAATTACAATTACTATAAATATGTATGTACATAATACGGAATTACAATATTAAATGGCAAAATAGAAAGTGATTTTCCCTGCAATTTTCCATTTTCCTTTCTATATATAGTGTTGGACTAATTTTTGTTTGGTACTATTTATTTATTCATAAATCACATCCTCGGAAATTAGGCCATCCCAGGTAGAATTCGAACCTACGATCTTTGGATTAGAGGTCCAGCGCGCTATCCATTGCGCAACAGGGACACGACGAACAATTTTCCTTTCTATATATGGTAAACTTCTTTTTGTTTGTTACTATTTATATAATAATTAAGTTTAACTAATGAATTAATGTTTGAAAAAAACTGTATTCACATCAAGTGTCATCCATTAAAGTTTAAAAAATGTATTTGAACTTGAGTGGATGAATAAAAATTATTTTATTAACGATTGAAAATTCGAACAAGATATAAATATATGAATAAGATATAAATATTTTTTTCTCTATAATTTTGTTCTTCATGTTCAGCTTTTATATTTTTATTACGCTATTTCTTGTTAAGTTCATTATCTATTATTTCTTGTTTTTGATATATAATACATATTTCTTTCATATATATTTTATGCATTCATTTGGCTGCTTTGCGCCTATCTATGTATAAATCTATTTCCTAATGAGATTGTTCAGTTATGGATGTAGTCCGTATAGAGTATGTTTGCTTATAGCGAATTTTGAAATCGGCATTAGATTCAAAATCTCGTCTATGAATGTTTTTCTTTTATTAAGTTTAATTTGGCTTTGTTCATTTTCCTTGTGTGTTTATCTTGTTTATATAAAAATATTATGCCAACTTCTGATTTTGTGCCTATAAAGTAATCGTGTGGATATGTTGTTTATGAGTGGATTAGATTTTATGGAATTATATTGCTCACATTGTTTCACTTTATATTATTGTGATTGAAAAACTTTTTGCTAATAATATTTTATTTGGGTCTTTCAAAGTACCTTTAACTTTTAAATAACTATGAATTTGAAAAATAACAAGTTTTATGCGACTGGCAATTTGTTATACCAGGGTATGACATTGCTCGGTGGTACAGTATTTTGGCATCTGTACCATCGTCATCCATTTACCATTTTATGAGCCCTTATATAGAGATTTGGTATATATTTAAGTATGGCTTTAGATAGTTGTGGAGATGGGCATAAAGGTTCTGAGTTGGCATATAAAAAAACTATAAATTTTTTAAAAAATACAAAAAAATGTGTGAATTGTTTTGATAATCAGAATTTTTTTGCTTACCCTTCTGTTTCTAAACATTGTCATGTTACAATTTTTAAAACTCGAATTTTTTGGAACTCTAAATATAAGACTTTATCTCGCACAGCAAAACGAAATATTCATGTTTTCGATTGTATAGATGAAAATCAAAGAGATAAGGGTTTTAGTAACATATTGGAAACTAGGCTTTTCAGAGATATTCATGTTTTAAAACTAAAATTTAGATCTTGTACTGATAAAAGATGCAAGGCGTGTGGTATGATGAGTGCGGAACAGTTGGATATGGATGCAGGTTATATATTTTGTAAGACTTTTAACTGTGTTTACAAAATGACATGCAACATTTGTAAATTCGCTTACATAGGTCAGACTTCAAACACTATCAATATTAGATTAAATCAACATAGGTCTGAGATACAAGGAAATTTGATTGCAACAACAACCAGGCTAAGATTGAGATAGGACACTTTCATAAACATGGATTCAATAACATAACTGTACATATACTTAGAATAGTACCAAATATTAAACAAAGATTATGGTTCAAAAACTTTTTTATAGGTTCATTTAGAACATATTATCCTTATGGTTTGAATGTTATCTGGAAAGGTGAAAGTGTCTTACTAACTTTTAAACAAAAATCCGAGGATTCATTGTATATTCCGAATTTTGATAAATCTATTAATAATAGTAATAATATTGGTTTAGCGAGAATTTCAAGAGCTAAACGTAGAAAAAGAGTTACTAGAGACATGTCAACCCTCAAGAATTCTGTGTTAGAATTAGCTGTTAATTTTGATGATAACTACAACACAGGCTTAATTAAATCGTTTATGTTTGGCATGAATAAAACTGAAATTAAAATTATGACAGATATTTTAAGCAGATATAAATTTCGGAATTCTCATGGTATGCATATGATTCGAGACCTTAATAACTATTTAGTACAAAAAATGAATATTAAATTAGATGCAAGTAAAAATTACTCTACAGAATATTGTACATTATTATTTATGAATAAATCCTTTAACAAAATTAATTTTTCAAGTATATTTCAAAAATATCAATCCTTTTTTCCTATTAAAAATATTATTATTAAAAAGGCTTTCAAATACAACAAGAAACTTGGTAGATTTATATTTAATTATAATCAAGTTTCGGAGCTCCTAAGTTCAGAATCATGTAAATGCAATCTATATCGAGACTATATTGATGATTATCATCAGCACGTTGTCACAGGAGACCTTGGCATCGTGAAAGATGATTTGTTAAGAAATTTTATGGAAAAAGGTACCGGTTTTAGACTGATGATCACAAAAAATAAATCTAACGTTATGAAACAAATCATAAAAGATTTAGATAAATTCTACCTTAAAATTTCAATTAAATACGGAATGCCGATTGAAGCTTTCAATCAATTTAGATCTTATGTAGCAACAGAAATTCGGGAATTAGATTTCACTGTTGAAAATGAAATTATGTATAAAGATCTTAAATAATCAATAGAAAATATCCAAAATGACTTCGTGATTACATATGTTGATAAGGTCTCTGCTAATTATGCCATAATTTGTAAATGCTTTTACAGTAAAATATTAAGTAACCACATTTTAAATAATAATTCATTTCAAAAATCAATTCACAATAATAGAGAAGATGATAATCGTCTTTTAGCTTTGAACAAAAGACTGAATATTCATCTAAATAATATTAAATATCCAAGTATTTTTTAACACCAAAATTACATAAAATCCCTATAAAATTCCGTAATATCTCTAATGGATACAATACATATATCACGAAGTCTGGGAAGATCTTACAATCTCTTCTTCAAAATCTAATTGATAACTTACAAAACACGGCAATAATTAAAAATAGCTTAGAGATTGCTAGAGTTACTAAGGATATGTTAATTTTTTCCATGCATGGCTTTAATTTCGATGACCTTTTTTAATTCTATAGATATTGACGATATGATTAAGGTTCTACAGTTAATTTATGATAAATATGAATTATATACTTCAATGAAAAAAGAAAAATTAGATATTCTTGTTAACCTCGTATTAAAAGAAAATTTCATTGCATTTGATCAGAATCTTTATAAACAGATCAAAGGATTACCTCAGGGTGGTCCAGCTAGTAATTGTTTAGCGAACCTATATTTACATTTTTTTGAAATTGATCATGTTGTAAATGATTCTTACTTGATTTACCGTTATATAGATGATTTAATAATTTTTGGTAAAAATAGTGAATACAAACCAAATATTACGTTCTACCCTGATTATCTCAAGCTCCTTAAAACTAACTTCAACTCTAATAGGGTGGAATTCTTGGATTTAGACTTGCATCTTATTAACAATAATGTAGTCAGTAACATTTTTGACAAAAAAAAGAGATTCGTTTAAGTTCCATATAATTAAAATTCCGGTATGGAATAGTAACTTGCATATATCAATTTACAGAAATATCATTTTGAATTTTTTATTTAGAAATGATAACTTAACTACCCACAAAATAGATAAATACAATAAATAAAAAAAAAATTTCAATGTTGTTTAGATCATGAATACCCTTTTAATTTCTTAACTTATATTCATTACAAATACATTAACCGTCTTGCTACTTCAAATTCCAAAACCACCACACAACAATAGGATTTCAAAGTCAGCATGTTAGTGGTCTTGCTGTGAAGATTATATCATAACACTCATATCACAGTTTACATTTTTTCCACACACATCTTGAACATCTTACACATTGTTGACAACCAACCAAATTAGAGCCTAGCAAATTTACATTTTTGACAATCAACCAATTCAAATTCTACCATATTTGATTGTCGTCTTTTTTATATCTGTCTTTGCTGGCTGGTTTAAAAGTTAGCTCAAAAGATGTGTTTATGTATATTCGAATTTTTTAACTTGGTGAATAATTGATTTTCATTGATGTCAAGACGCTTGATTCTCTTCGTAAAAGCTCTGTGAGTAAAGAAATTTTGTTAAATTATTTTTTGAAAAATACTTTTCTTATGTAATTGTTTTAGAATTTTTCTACTTTTCTTACGTAATTATTTTGCAATTTTTCTGCATTAAGAGTTTGGGAGAGTTTGTTACATAATAGTAGTGAGTGGTTTTATCATACTCTCTGAGTTTTCCATACTCTGAATTTTTGTTTATTTTATTTTATTTGGTTTTTCCTACCGAGTTGCAAAGGGGGAAGGTTGGCGCCTTCAAACTAGTTTAATCCCACTTATTCGGTCCTAAGTCCGAAATTGCTTTCTGACTCTCGCTAGGTTCTTCTTTTTTGTAGTTTCTTTTTTTTCTCTATAATTTTGTTCTTCATGTTCAGCTTTTATATTTTTATTACGCTATTTCTTGTTATGTTCATTATCTATTATGTCTTGTTTTTGATATATAATACATATTTCTTTCATATATATATAAGGAAGGTAGGAGTTAATAGTGGGAAGTGAATAACAAAAGTTATACATCACTTTAACCCATTACAGTGGCAATTATTTTCTTTTAATATTATGCTAAAATACTTTGGAGTTTGATATTAATTTATAAAAAAGAAATAGATTTAGCTTTTTTTATAAGATTAATTTGATTCTCAGGAACAATTTTTTGGTGGGAAGTATATAACTCACCACCCACTGGCTATTCAAAGGTAGGACATCTTATGCTTTGCATTTCTTTTTATATCGCCTTGCATGTTATTTATAAAATATAATATATAATTACAAAAAAAATCTATTAAAGGAATTATATATTAGATATATTTCATATTCAAAGATTTAAGAATTTATATATATTACTTTCCATGAAATTTCGGAAAACAGGAATCAATACAGAGTGAAACATTGCACTCTGTATAACTGTATCTCGGTCTCATGTGCTATAGTAGAGCGCAAACGGCAAGATCTATATGTTTTTTTTTAATTTGGCACAGTGTCACCAAATTCAGTCAATCGTGAGT